CCAGTCTTTTTATTTTGAGATGGGTTCTCACTAAGCTGCCAGGGTTGGCCTTGAACTTGTAATCTTCCAGCCTCAGCCTCCAGAGTAGCTTGGATTACAGACATGTGTCACCTTTTTGAAACAATTTTTTATTCAATACTGCTTCATTTTAGCAACTTTTTGTATATATTGGATGAGAGTCATCAGTCTATGCAAATATACACTACCAAAAAATTGTCAACTGATATTTCACCTTTATCTAAAAAAAAAAAAAGTCATAATGTTGTAATAGGAACTATTTACACTCATACCATTATATGTATCAAGCATTTCACTTAATCCTCACAACAGCCCTACTCACAGTAGATATTATTGTTCATCTTTTCACAAACAATATGTCATCTTGAGAGTTTCTTTGCATTTTGTTTTCAAATGTCTCAAAATGGTACTCCCGGTGAATACAAACAATAAATACATTCTCAATCCAAAATGTTCACTACTTTTAAAAACTGTTTTAAAGTCCTCCCTAGACAATTGAAGAACATTAAAACATGCATATATCATGATACAAAATAGAGATTCAAATCAGATTCCCCAAATGATACATATTTTCATTGAAAATCTAAATAATTAAGTTGTTCATCAAAAACAGTTAAATATCATACATGATTAATCTAAAAAAAAAACTTTTCTTAATTGTGACCATTTGACTGACTTACTCAAAAATATAGAGAAAATTTTACTAGGAAATATTTTTCTTTCCAACACTTTTCAGCAATCACTAAGAGATGTACTATACTTCAACAAAACCTGGGGGGAGAGGGCCTAACTTCATCAGCAGGTTCAACATGGGAGTTGGTTTTTCCATCCAAGATGGTAATTTACTACTAGGACTCCATTTTCATTTCCCCAGGCTACTAAATTTTCCCATCTCTAAATAAACTTTATTTCGGTTTAATAATACATTAATTTTCTGCCTCATATGTGCAAAGCCATGTTCTAGGGGTTTGGGTTTTCCTACCTACTTCATTCCATGATCTCCTATTAAGAAATACCATTAAGCTAAAGACATAGCAAATAATCTACAACTGTCATTCTACTCAAAGAATGTATTAAGTATTTTTCCATTAAAAGTATACAAAAGGGTTAAAAAGTCTTAATTGAAAGAATAAGAAAGTAAATTTGTTAAATCAGAATTATAAAATTTCAAAAAAAGAGGAAATATCAAATTTCATTTGCAATACTGGTAYCCAACTATAAGGAACAGATTTTAGTACACAAATACAACTTTCTCTTCAAGTATCGAATTTATTACCAGAATATTTATAAATCATTTTATTGGAAAATCAATATGAGACCCAAACACTCATGAGTTTATTTTATTTATATACTAAAGAAACTTCCTCAAGGTCCTTTACAGTCCTGCAACTCAAAGTATGCTGCAGAGACCAAAAGTACCCTCCTTTGCTGAGACCTTGGTAAAAATGCAGACTCACTCTGATTGCCAACGTTCAGTATCAGAATCTGCATTTTGATATACTTCCCAAGCATTTTCTTACATACATTTGAGTTCAAGAAGTACTGCCCTGTATCATGGGAGCTTAAGTTGGCTCCTAGGAGTAATGAATTTCATGAATCCCTTTAAATTTCATGCAGAACTTTTTGCAAGTATATAWACACACATTTCACTAAGGAAAGACTCTGTATATTTTTATCACACTCTCAAAATAATATATGACCCCAAATAGATTAAGAACCACTACCCTATAGGAATCTATGCAGTGGCTATCATGCACACAGTTAAAAGTCACAATACTCCAAAAACTATGAGGCTCTCAATGAGGTCCATTAAAGAATGACAAGAATGAAGGTCAGAACGTCACAGTGGGTCACGAAAGACCTTATCTGAAGAATTTATTCACACCATGCAAGAACTATGCCAAGAAACCAGTTTAGAGACATCTAAATAAATAATTCTCTACATGAGGTTTGAGATTAAGAATGTGCACTTGAAGAAGATTCAAACTGAGAAGTAAATARATATAAGGTAGGATTTTTTTTAAAAGGATAGGATGCCATCAGATGACAGTGAAATGCCAAATTCTTGTTGTAAGAGCTCAATCAGCAATCTTSAACATGAATTCTGTTTAATTTGGGATACTGAATCATTTAAAAATATTAACTTCCAAATACATTCTTATAATAGTTCCTTGATGAGGAAATCCCAACATATTTGACTAGTCCCACTTTCCTCATCTTCTCTTGACCTTATAGGACAAAGCAAAGAAGAAGAATGGCACATAAATTAAAAGAAACATTCTCATGATCTTCACTGAATTAAGTGCCAAAGAATGTTTCCTATTTAGAACAGGGTATATAATTCACTCTTTGATATTATCATCTAACCATCTCGTCAAGGAGTAAGAATACACTTTATGTCCAAATTCTGTTTCCATAAGCCATTCTGCAAATTTAATTTCCTTGATGGGTACTTAAAATGTTAAAAAAAAAATTAACTTGTCTTTCTTGAGACTGTATTAAACCACCATTGTAAATGGCTACCTGTGATAAGTCCAGTACTTCACAGTCGGGTCCCCAGGGTGGATCCATATCCTACATACTAGTCATCTTGGGCAAGAAAAGAAAATACCAGAAAATATTCAAAGAGATCAATTCCTTTCTGCCTCTATCTATCTCCATGGATTATAAGGAAAAAAAAAAAAACAGCAAGTTCTTCAGTCTAAAGTGACCCATTAAATCACATTCAAAGGACTTTTCTTGATTTTATAAAGAGCCATTAAGAGTTCTTACTATCAAAGTATAATAGGGACTGAGATCAAACTGTTAGGCACTGTTAACTATTTACCTTGTTTACATCATAAATATCTCCTAGTATAGTATAAATTTTAGGTCATCTAAGTACAATTACTCACTTAAATTACAGAAATGTGACCCTTAAACAATAAAAACTAAATAAAAGAATGTAGTACTTTAAACATACAATAGTCCCTCAGACATTCAACCCAACTAAAAGCTAATGTTTCAGACATAAACAATTTGGTATTTGTTTTTCAGCCCAAACAGTTCAAACAACGTCAACTTGATTTTTGAAGTTAAAGGAATAATAACAGGGACAGGCACACTGACAGTAGTGATGCATAACAGAAGTCAGCAAGAAAGACTAATAAAAATAAGATAAAAATTAATATTTGTTGACCATTTTTTATGGAGCTGACATTTACATAGATCCAGGATTATTATCTTTACTTGGCACATGAAAACACTTAATGTTTCAACAATTAAACAATTTACCCAAAATTACAAAATTAGATGGTGACAGGTTTGGGGGGCATGGTTTTAGGCATAATAGGAGAGGAAGAAGGATAGTAAAGGTGTAAGAGGGGACAAGAATGGGGAAGAAATAGTTAGCCTAGTTTTACCTGAAAAATTAAAACAATGAAAAGAAGATGAGCACTTAAAGGGCAAAAGAGGTTACTGAGTTCAGGAGTAAAAATGGTTCCTCACACGCTAACGGCCATCTTTAAAGTAAATTATATAATTACTGATAACTTTTTAAAATAAAATAGCAGAGCCAGGATTCGAATAGCCTATTTGACTCCAAAGCTCATGCTCCTAAATACTGTACTCACAAAGAAACTGATTAAGTATGAAATAATAAATATTTAGAATAAATATGGTAATAGGAATCTCAAATGTCACTGTAATTGTAGTTTTAATAACATTTTATACTTCCAACAACAAATAAGGATATAAAAATATGTACTAGTTAAGCCACTTTATCTAATTCTTTGCCTGACAGTGACACAGAACTAATAATCTAAGAGGTTATAGATATGTTACAAAACTCCCAAATACCCCATAATCAACTGCTTCCAAAAACATACTCTCAGCTTTTAGGAATGTTTTTATATTTTAAATCCAAATCATTTCTCAAGACAATGAAATCCATCTTCCTTTTTAAAATAACATCTTTTATTGATCTCAAATAACTGTTCTAGATTTAGTTTATGGTCATTTGGACCTCTGGTCTCTAGATCAGGTAAACTCTACTCTTTCCTTAATGTAGTATATCGTCAGTATAGAATCAAAAACTCTGAATCTTTTAAAAAATGGAAAAATATACTTAAAATCTAAGTTCTTTCAAAAGAATCAAAATTTAAATTCTTTTTTTATTTAATTGATTTTATTTTTTAATACACGAGAGCAAAATGCATTACAATTCTTATTACACATACAAAACACAATTTTTCATATCTTTGTATATAAAGTATGTTTATGCCAATTCATGTCTTTATACATGTACTTTTCTTTTGCATTACAATTCTTATTCATATATATACCACAATTTAAGCTAAAAAGTTTCTTCTCAGCAAAAGAAACAATCTGTAAGTGAACAGAGAGTCTACATCCTGGTAGCAAATCTTTACCCACACATCAGATACAGCACTAATCTCCAGGGTATATAAAGAACTCAAAAAGCTAAGCATCAAAAAAACAAATAACTCAATCAACAAATGGGCCAAGGATCTGAACAGATCCTTCTCAGAAGARGATATACAATCAATCAACAAATATATGAAAAAATGTTGATCATCTATAGCAATCAGAGAAATGCAAATCAAAACTACTCTAAGATATCATCTCACTCCAGTCAGAATGGCAGCTATTATGAAGACAAACAACAATAAGTGTTGGCGAGGATGTGGGGAAAAGGGTACACTCATACATTGCTGGTGGGACTTCAAATTGGTGAAGCCAATATGGAAAGCAGTATGGAAATCTGGGAACCACCATTTGACCCAGCTATCCCTCTCCTCAGACTATACCCAAAGGACTTAAATTCTTTTCATGTATCTTTAATTCCTTTAAATTAGGGCTCATCTGAATTCAAAATGAGATCACATTTTGAATAATCAGAAGATCACAAAAAACTATTATCTCAAGCAAACTATATTTAGGCTTAAAAATAATCTCATTTATACAATTCAAACATTAGTTACCTCTTCATCATCTTCCTCATCTTCAACATCCAGAATTCCTGAATCCTGTTCTGACTTGGGGCTAGTGCTTTCCATCTCTGTATCAAAGATCGTATATGCATCTTTCTTAGATTTTCTCTTGCTGCCTATTCTGGGTTGTTGCAAGACAATGTTATCCAGGTTTCTTTGTTGCTGAGCCTAGGATACAGAAAAATAACACACATGGACGGGGGGTGGATAAAGAAACAACACTTAATCAAGCTGATAATGAACTTCCAATTTTGAATAAATTARTTTCTTACAGAAAATACAACAAAATTCCTTAATATATAAATTTTTAGCCCCAGATACAAAATCTAACATACTGATTAATTAATTTTTAACCCTAAAGTTATTTGGTCTTAACTCACTGTCCAATTAACACAGGAAAAAAAGATAATCAGTCAACATTATCATAAAACTTTTCAAATATATCCACTAAATTACCATTTCCATATAAGTAGTCAAGAAATTAGTACAAATGCCTAAATTTTATCTCTTAGAACAAAATGCCACAATGAATGGTTAATAATGGTTAAAGGAAATTGTTAAGGAAAAATTAATTGGAATTAATTAATACATTTGAACTTAGGGGACTTTAATAAATAATTATATGAATATAAGATACTAATAAAATATAATCAGAAGGATGAATTATCTAAGAAATGAATTTTTTCTGAGGTTTAACTAATGAATCCAACRGGACCCTTTGATCATGACCTATGGAAAAGAGTTTTAAAGGGTTTCTTCTTTGGARCTTATACAGAAAAGGAAGTGTAATCCACTCAGCCTAACATAATGACTAAAATTACAGTATGGTTTCAATAGATGCAAAGAGGTGGGAAATGTGACTATCCAGAGTCAACAATAGGAGCATTAAACCACACAGGACTAGAGCTGGAAGTGACCTCAATTACCACTCAGGAAACTGAAGCTAGAGGACAAAGTGTCTGTTTGAGGTCTCAAGGCTAGTGAATGATAAAACAGAGGCTCAAAGTGTGATTTCCAAATTCCAGATCACTGATCCTTCCACTACACCAACAGTCCCTCAAAACATGACAAAATGTTTTCCAAGATAAGGATTTTGTGGCCAAATGAATGGGGAAACACTACACATGATGTAGCCTTGTRGATATACAAAATGCTTGATTACAGGATGAAAGTTTGGAGTAGTAAGATTTTAAAGAAACTTATTTAATTTGGTTAAAGCCAGCACATTCCAAAACAACATTTCCCAAATTGAACTTTCTTTTTTTTAGTGTAATATTTAGCATTATGCCATGATACAAAGCTTGAGCATGTGACATCTCAGAACATACACTCTAATTAATATATGATAATTTTCCTCTGTGACAAGTTGAAACAGGAGAAAAATCAGTGTCTTCAAATCTTCTGAATGAGATTAAGGAATRTAGGATAAATATTATAGTGTAAGAAGTTAGTTCAGGCACTGGTCAAATGAAACAATTATAATAGGCCAGAGAAAAACTTGAAGTATGTGAGCTGGTTTCTGCCAAGAAAATAAGAAGAGTCTACATTCCAGAGATTTCAATCAATGGACAAACCTGTTTCTCTGCATATTACCCATTGATATTTTGATTTGATTTACATAAAATACATGGCTTCTTTAATAAACTGGTCTAGAGGAGGTACCCAAAAACATTAACTTAGATTTGTACATAACACACATATCCTCCAAGCATTAGAGATCCCAAATAAAATAGAACATTCTTTATATTCTTCTCACAAGTAAGATGTTTTTCCCATCTATGTTCAGTACAAGCCACACAGACGGGATCAAGAGCTCTGGGAAGGCACAAAAGAAGGCAGAACTTCTAAAGCTTCCATATTTAAAAAAGCAATCCCTAAAATGAAGAGTGATCACTTGCTCACTTTAACTCTACCTTCTTTCAGTACACCAAAACCTTTCTTTCATAAGTAGATTTTATTAAATTCCAAATTAATAACTTTTTCAACATCAATAAAATGTCTCAAGGGGCTGGAGATGTGGCTCAGCGGTAGCGCGCTCGCCTGGCATGCGTGYGGCCCGGGTTCGATCCTCAGCACCACATACAAACAAAGATGTTGTGTCCGCCRAGAACTAAAAAATAAATATTAAAAATTCTCTCTCTCTCTCTCTCTCTCTCTCTCTCTCTCTCTCTCTCCTCTCTCCTCTCTCACTCTCTCTTTGAAAAAAAAAATAAAAAATAAAAAAATAAAATGTCTCAAAAGCAATCAAGAGGAGCCAAACTAGATACTGTCACTGAAACTTCAAGTGATAAAAATCTAGAAAGGGTCTTATGAAAGTATTTTTAGATTTTCTATGAGTTTTTTTTCTATTTTAGTTGTCATCTGGTTTTCCTAGTCATATAGAAGATGCAAAGTCATTTTGGCCAAATCAGAAAATTGTTACAGTGAATCCTTTGCTACAAATCAAAGTGTTTCAAGTTGTATACTAAAGCTCTGTCTGAATGGATAGGCTTTTCCAATCTGTAAAGAAATCCTCAGGGATCTGCCAAGCAGGAAGGGCCAAGTTGGAAACACCAAATTTCGGGTGGAACAACATGATACAAAATGTGTGTTTTGAAACTGGCATGAAGTAGTGAGGACAAAATATAGACATAAACATATAAGAACATAAATGAAAATGTGAAAAAAAATCCATAAAAGCACTTTGGAGATCTTTCTTAACATGCTCAGTGGTTTTTACCAGGACCACTTATTCTATGCATAAAAGTTAACTCCTAGAATAATGTGCCAGAGAAGCAGGTGACTGATTTCTACCAACTGAGTTGGATTAGTAGGAGAAGGGCACAAAGCAAACACATAGTTGCTGGACCTTAGAAAACACTTAGGCATTTTCATTTTCTTTACTGTTCATTCTCTTTGTGAATTAATTTTTATACATTTCATCATCTATACTGTAATATATGGTTTCCTAATAGATAGAAACTGAATGAGTTTCACACAAAACACACACACACACACACACACACACACACACACACACTCCTCTTTTACTACTCCTTTCACTCTCCCTACCCAGTAGCATATCTGGTTTCCTATTATTAATATTTCCTACCATCACCTCCCTTCCAACATCACTGCACTGTCTCTGCCAACTGTAGCCAGGCTCTTCTTAACCTACAATGTTCATCATGCAAATCAGGCGATAAGCAACTTTAAAATAAGGTAAATGGGTGCAGAGGAGGGATTAAATAAGCAAACTCCAAACTACATAATCTATCACTTGGATTTTCCCATAGTGGAAGCTGAGTATATTTTCCAAAGTATTCATCAGTACTCTCCACCCTGAATCTTCCTCTTGGATCAGACTCCAATATACTCCTAATATACTGGGTGAATTTGCACTGACGTACCTTTACTCTCGTCATTTCTCTACGTGATGACTCCTCCCTGCCTGAATCAAAACCCCAACTAAAATTCTTTTTCCATTAGAAAGCTTCTCTTTCAAAGCACCCTATGAGTTAGGCAGTAAGAGAGGGCATTCGTGTGTTGAATGCCTACTTGGTATCAAGGCAGGCATTGTGCTGCATGCTGGGTATGCTAAGAAATAAAATGAAGTCTCTGACTCATGAGCCTCCCATCTCACTGTTACAGGGAAGAGGCAAATAAGTAGATGAAGTTCAATGAAATATGTATAATAATTGAAATAAATAGATAACAATGATTGCACAAAGCAAAATGTAATCAGATCTGCATGGAAGAGTTTCAGGCAAGACTTCACAAAGGACCAGGTATCGAATGATATTCTTAAAAGATAAGTATTTTTTCAAATGAATGTAGAGGGAAAGGATAACTATTCCAGAAGAAGTAAATAGCATAAAAAGGACTACATATGAAAAAACATTATCTACCAGAAACGATAAGAAACTTTAAATAATTAGAACAGAGCATGAGTTATGAAGGATTAACAAGAAAAAAAGTTAAAAATGCCACATAAAACAACTTCAATGTTAGCAGGCAATGGAGAAACAATGAAAGAATGTAAGCAAGGGGAAAACAACATCAGCTTTACAGTTCAGACAAATCTTCTAGGTACAGAGGAGCAATTAACTGGGAGAAAATAAAAACTAGAAGCAGGAAAATACATATAGACTAGTCCACATAACAATGATAAGAATTTGAATTGAGGTAGCAGAAGATATATAAGAAACATAAGGAAAATAATTTATTGATTTTCATGTTGTACATGGAAGAGAAGAAGGAAAAGTAACTCCAATTGTTCTGGCCTTGATGACTAGCTGGTGGTACGATTCCAAACAACAGGAAACATGAAAATAGCAGRCCGAGTGTAGGACTGAGAAAATGAGTTCAGTAAACCTACTGGATATTCAGGTGAAAATGACACTGAAGCACCTCAGTATACCACTTTTCTCTCTTTGAGAGTAAGAAACACTACACTACCGTATTTTGGAATCCCCTAAGTCCAGACACATTGACATACACATAGTAAGTTTACATATATGTTTACTATGTAAAGGCAGGAGATAACAAAAGAAATCCATGTGAGAATGAGATTGAGCACCAAAACAGAAAGGGATTTCCATGAGATACATTACTTGGCTACTCTTCTTACTTATGATAAGACAACAGCAGCTAAGGACTACGGGAGTGACTATAAGAATTACCTAATCTGAACTATTAACCTAAAAAGTCACAATTAACACTTTTAAAACAGTCAAAAATTGTCTATGAGGCATCCTATGTATGTCATTAAAATAAAGATTTACCGTAGAATATAATTTCCAAAGGTACCTATCTAGAGCCAGTTAAAATAAGAATCAAAAACAAGACTCCTGTTTGTTAACCSGATACTGACCTCTAGTGGATCAGAGCAGTGCATATAAACGACCGTTAAAACCAGAAACTAGTTGAAAAATGAAGGTTTTAGACCTATAGGTTGGATGTCTAATATAATTACTATACATAGGTTTCAATAACAGGGTGTTATAATACATAAGAAAAGTTTCATGGAGTAATATAGGTCTTTAAATCTAATATTTGCAATTTATTAATTCAATAATTTTGGGTAAGTTACTTCACTTCTCTGTGGAACATACCCACCCATAAATAAAAAACAAGATTAATCAAACCCATCTCAGAGGTATCTCAAGGATTAAATAAGATAATATATA